AGCTACTCGGAGAAAGGCCTTTTCAGGGGTGGCATCAATTGTGGAACACACTCCTCAGAGAAGTTTGCCTGGCGCCATCACTATTCTTTTTGGCATCAGGCGAAGACCTTTTTATTCTCCCAATATTTTAACAGTTCATTGGTTTTATCCTTGTTTTTATCCTATACGATGCAGCATGCTGTGTGTTCTCATTGTTAAGATTGATTTGTTTTTGGTTTTCTGTTTTTTATAAGCTGTCCAGAGACCTTTGGCATTGGGACAGAATATAATTTTTTAAAGCAAGCAAATAAATAAAGTGATACTTAGGAACTACTGGAGAATCTAAGAGTTGTCACCTTTAAAATATGAACTCAGAATTCATTATGTTCGATGGAATTCTACAACTGGGAAGAAGACATAGCATATGGCCTCTTCCTAGTACACCCACTTAACCTACAAGGTGAATCTGTATGATGAAGCTCGGAGAGTACTTTTTGGCACTACAGTCACTGGACTATGGCATCCAACAGCATTCTCTTTTCTCCCATATGTTATTCAAATCTACATGAGAGGTCATCCAGAGCTTTAGATAGATCTATATGTTGATGATACTCAGCTCCACTATCCGTTGTGACTCAACTGTAAGGACGCAGTCAAAACCCTTGAATGTTGCCTAAATTTAATAATGGACTGAATGAGGGTGAACAAGGTAAAATTAAATTCAGAAACGACAGTAGAAAGCCTGCCGTTCTACCTGTTCTGTTGGGTAGAACAGAGCCCCCTCCCTCCCTGGATCACCTGCCGCGCTGCCACTGCTGCCGCCGCCACCGCCGAGGCCCATGCCAACGAAAGACCTGAGGCACGCCGCCGGGCCTGGGGGCCAGCTGACGCTGCTCCATGGCCACCGCTGGTCCATCCCAGGGCCGGGAACGCTGGGCCACCGTTGCGGCTGAGGAAAGCGCCGCCATCTTGCCGCCCGGCGAGTTCCCCGCGTCCGTCCTTGCGCCCCCCCTGCCGGCGTCCGTGAGAGCAATGCCGGACTGGGGGTGGGGCTCGCAGGCGGGCGCTGGCTTAACTCGCCAGTCGCAGCCTGGGGCAGGAGCCGGATCAAAGCCCCCTCCCTCCCTGGATCACCTGCCGCGCTGCTGCCGCCGCCGCCACCAAGGCCCACGCTGACAGAAGACCTGAGGCACGCCGCCAGGCCTGGGACCAGCTGATGCCACTCCGCGGCCACCGCCGGTCCATTCCAGGGCCGGGGATGCTGGGCCACCATCGCAGCTGAGGAGGGCGCCGCCATCTTGCCGCCCAGAGAGTTCCCCACGTCCATCCTTGCCCCCCCCCACTGGCGTCGGTGAGAGCAATGACGGATTGGGGGCGGGGCGTGCAGGCGGGCGCCAGCTTAACTCGCCGGTTGCGGCCTGGGGCTGGCAGCCAAAGGGCGACGGCCAAAGGACGGCCACCGCCATTTGTGGCTGTTTGTGGCCATGCAGGGGCTGGGCAGGTGAAGGACTCTGTCAGTGGGTGGAATTTTATATTGGGGATAGATGGGGAGTTTTATATTGTTTTAATGTTTTTATTGTATTTTAATTTGTTTTTATGGAGTCTTTCCTGGCCATGTCGACGGTTGAGTTACCTGGGGAGCGCGTGGGTGCTGCCATTGGGGTGGTTGTGGGCAATGGACGTTACAGCGGTGGGGGTCTAACATGTCCACGTAGAAGAAGGAGGGAAAGATAGTTGACACCTGTCCCTCCTTCTGGTTTTACCCCCAGCCAGACGGTTCCAGGTAGTCATGTCAACCCCCCCCCCCCCCCCCCCGGGCCTGACAGAGCTGCCGCTTAATGCCAGGTCAGTCCACAATAAATCCTCCCTCATCCACGACCTGATTGTGGATGAGGGGGCCGACCTGGCTTGCATAACACAGACCTGGGCGGGAGGGGGGGATGTCGCCCTCTCTCAAATGTGCCCGCCCGGGTATCTAGTTCAGCACTGGCCATGCCTGGAGGGAAGGGTAGGGGGGTTGCTCTGGTTTACCGAGCCTCCATCTCCCTCACGGGGCTTCCAGTCCCTTCGAGGCCGGGGCTACTTGTTGGGCGACTGTAAGATTGGGGATTCTGTTGGTGTACCGTGCACCCTTCTGCCCAACAGACTCCCTGCCTGAGCTGGCGGAGATCGTCTCGGACCTGGTGTTGAGGACCCCCAGGACCAATGTCCTGGGGGACTTCAATCTCCATGCCGAGACTGGTCTGACCGGGGCAGCTCAGGACTTCATGGCCTCCATGACGGCCATGGGGCTGTCTCAACATGTCACAGGCCCAACCCATGAACGTGGACACACTCTGGACCTGGTTTTCTCGACGGGGAGGAAGAGGGTGGTCTGAGGGTGAGGAATTTGTGTCTGACACCCCTGTCATGGTCAGATCACTTCCTCGTGAGGTTTGTGCTTGAGAGCGGCCTTTCCCTCTGTAAGGATGCGGACCCGATTGTGTGGGTTCACCCCCAGAGCCGGATGGATCCGGATGGATTCCTGAAGGCCCTGGAGGAGTTTCCGGCTGACAAGACTGGTGCTCCTGTCGAGGCTCTGGTCGAGCTATGGAATAGGGAAATGACAGGGCTATTGACACGATCGCTCCTAAGCGTCCTCTCCCGCTGGGCAGAGCCCACTCTTCCCCTTGGTATACACCTGAATTGCGGGTGATGAAGCGGGTTGGGAGACGGCTAGAGCGTAGGTGGAGGAAATCACGGATGAATCTGACCGAATACACTTAGGAGCCCATTATCAGACCTATGCTGTGGTGGTGAGGGCAGCGAAAAAGAAATTCTTCTCCGTTTCCATTGCCTCCTCACAATGCCGTCCGGCGGAGCTTTTTCAGGTGGTACAAGGGCTGGTTCATCCCGGCCCTAAGAAAGATCTGGTGCCACCCTCACAGGCCCGCTGTGATGACTTTGCCAAGCATTTTAGGGAGAAAATCGCTCAGATCTGTCACAAGCTGGACTCCACTAGTGACTCAGAGGCTTCTGGAGAGATACCAATGTCGCCGTCTGGTCCAGAATTAATGGATGAATTTCAGTTACTGCGGCCTGATGATGTGGACAAGGTGCTTGGACAAGTACGTCCCACCACCTGCCTATTGGACCATTGCCCATCTTGGCTAATTAACAACGCCAAGCACGGGACAGGGACCTGGATCTTGGAAGTGGTTAACGCCTCTCTGAGGAATGGCCGGATACCTGCCCCTTTAAAGGAGGTTGTAGTCTGACTGGTCCTGAAGGAGGTGTCACTGGATCGAGAGATGGCCACTAATTATAGACCAACATCCCGATTTTGGGCAAGGTGTTGGAGCAGGGGGTGGTGGTGGGACAACCCCAAGCACTCTTGGATGAAACTGATTATCTGGACCCATTTCAGTCCGGCTTCAGACCGGGGTACGGTACTGAATCTGCCTTGGTCGCCCTGTACGATGACCTGTGCAGGGAGAAGAACAGGGGGAGTGCGTCTCTGTTGGTTCTCCTGGACCTCTCAGCGGCTTTTGATACCATCAACCATGGTATCCTTCTGGATAGAAAACAGGATTGGGAGTTGGAGGCACTGCATTGCAGTGATTCCGCTCCTATCTCAATGGCCGATTCCAGAAGGTGACACTGGGGGACTATGGCTCTGCACCATGGCAGCAATGCCATGGAGTACCGCAGGGATCCATTTTGTCCTCTTTGCTATTTAACATCTACATGAAACCGCTGGGAGAGGTCATTAGGAGGTGTGGGCTGTGGAATCATCAGTACACTGATGATACCCAGCTCGACCTCTTGTTTTCAACCAATCCAGGTGAGGCAGTGGCTTTCACTGGAAGCTCAGGTGACAGCGGTGGCGAGGAGCGCTTTCTTTCAGCTTTGGCTGATCCATCAGCTGCGTCCTTACCTGGAGAATGACTACCTGGCAACAGTGACACACGCGTTGGTGACTTCCCGGCTTGACTTCTGTAACGTGCTCTACGTGGGACTGTCCTTGAAGACGGTCTGGATACTTCAATTGTTTCAAAATAGAGCTGCCAGGCTGCTGACGGGGACTGGGCGTTATGCTCACATGACTCCAGTTCTCCGTCACTTCACTGGCTCCCCATTGAAGTCCGGGCCCAATTCAAGGTGTTCATTATGACCTATAAAGCCCTTAACGGCTTGGGTCCTGGTTACCTAAAAGAGCGCTTACGTCCGTATATGCCCGTCCACCCCTTAAGATCAGCAGGAGAGGCCCTTCTCCAGGATCCCTCCGTGAAGGATATTAGGAGGGTAAGTACTCGGAGGAAGGCTTTCTCTGCGGTGGCGCCCAATCTATGGAATGTGCTCCCCAGAGAGGTCCGCCTGGCGCTGACGTTATTTGTTTTTCGGCGCCAGGTGAAGACCTTTTTATTTAAACGTCATTTTAATTGCTAATATTATTTATTTATTTTACTTCTTTGGCCAGGATGTCTCCAATTATATTGTTTTTATATTGTTATTATTTATTGTTGTGAGCCGCCCCGAGGCTTTGGCAAATGGGGCGGCATAGAAGCTTTCTAAATGAATAAATAAATATTCTGGATAAGACTGGGCTTCCCTTGAAAGTTTTGGTAGCAATGTTCATGCATCCTACAATAACCTTGGATGTTCAGGTGGCAATACCAGTGAGGACCACATTTCCACAACTACATTTGGCTCAGCAGCTGCAGGATCCCTGAGAATGTCTGATCTGGCAATGTCCTACCCTTGGTTTCATCAGCTAGACTCTTGCAATGTGTTCTACCCCTGAAGAGCATCCAAAAGCTGTAATTTGTGCAAAATATGACATTTGGGCTGCTAACTGGAAACCAACCTGTTTGGATCTTTCAATATTGGGCTGATAATAATTGGAATGGGGTGGGAAGGACAAACTCACCTAAGAGCAAGATATAATATTTTTAAAATGAAGAGACTACTTCCACTGAGGGCAAATAATACATGTATACTCAAAGTATACTCCCATTAATCGAATTTTCTTTGTTACTTACCCACTTTTGCTGTACTGCTGGTCCTTCTCTTTCCCTCTGGCCCTTTCTTTCTCCCTTGCCTTTTCTTTATCTCTGCCTTTACGTTTTTCTTTATCACGAGATCTGCTACGTGTTCTTCTGTGACTGGTCCTTTCACTGCTTCGGCTATAGGAACGTTGCTGAGGTCTGGAGTGTGATCTGTAAGTTAAACAGTGAGTGGAACGATAATATTGAGGCTTATATATTAGATTAGTTTGAATTGCAACTGGTTCATTCATAAACATTTCTAAATTAAAAAAACTATTTCAAGTGAGATTAAATAGGTGGGGCAGAAGGAAATGCTTTGTGCCTTGAAGCATGAAGCCACAGAAAAAACATATCAATATAATTAAAGGATCCTGAATTCAGACACACAATAGCGCACACTCATGGGTTGAGGGTGGATTGTTGCTGCCATGTAGGATGTTGTGCTGCCTGAACCAAGGCACAAAAACAAACAAACAACAGTTTTAAAACCCAAACAACCCAAATGGGTTCTCTTCATGGGTTATTTGCGTTTAACAAACTACAGCTTGTTCTCATGGCTTGGTTCAGCCAAAAAATTTACAGCTTAACTTTTCAGTGTGGGTTACGTTGTGTAAACCCAATCAACGTCTTGTAATGACAAAACTTATTAAATCCATAACCAAGGATATTAGACACAGGGTACTGACTAAATTATGTCAGAAACAAAATGGAGTAAACTTACTATCCATCCTAGCATGTTTCCATACCAATGGAATCTTTAGGACAGATACGATCTACAGGGGCTTGAAGATGTCAAGCTTTACATTAATGAAAATATTGCTGATAAAATCATTATGAAAATCAGAAAGCAAGTTCCTAAGCACAATGTTTTCTTAAACTGGTTTTTAATTCACCTTACGTCACCTGCACTCCCAATGAAAAGTCTATTCAAAGAATCCATGACCTGAATAGTGTGGAATGGGGCTTGATAGACTGCTTAACCTAAGCAGCCCTGTTTCCAATTGGAAGATGTACTGTTGGTAGCATGTCTTTTTTATATTTGTCACAATTAATCAATACCCTTAGATTATGACTAGTACATTTGAAGCCAGTGATCCAATACCACAGACAAATCTTTTGAATCATTTCACATTTTGTGAGATGTAGTTATTTCACTAGAGTCCATACATATAGTCAGGTGTGTGTTCTGTAATGGATAGAAATCAATTAGGAACATGTATGGGTAAACCAGCCTGCAGGCTCTGAACCAAACATAAGAATTGCCTGTAAATCTGTCAATCAAAACAAAGTAGACATATGATCTAATGGAGATATTCTACAAAGATTGTTATGGCTGTTTTACTGATTCCAGGGCCATTTGTTATTTTGCATTGCAATGGATTTCACTCTCTTAAATTTGTATTTTAACAGTTTCCATGACTTTTAGTCTTTTAACTGTTTGTATTCCACCCACAGAATGCTGGTTATTGGTCAGAAAAGAAATATAATGAATGAAATGTGCTTGTAAGAAATGAATTAACTTAATTGTCACACATGACCAAAGGAAAGAGAAAGTAGTTGAACTCAAATGCCTATTGAACAATAAATCATTTTTCAGTATTACATCTTAATGGAGCTCTTACGTTAGTCTCCATTTAAAGAGGTGGAAGATCTCAGAATACTAGCTGTTAAGGAGAAACATCAGGAAATTATGAAAATTCCAGCTGAAGCCTTTGTTCCATGAAAACATTAAAGGCAAAAGATCTCACAATTCAGACATAAAACCATGTCTACACACTCAAAACTGTGAAATTTCATTAGAAATCAGAGTTTGGGCATTTAATCAAGGGAAGAGTTTATGAATTCAGTTAAAAAAGAATTAAGGGTAGAAACTTCTCAAACACATGATTTCAAACACATTTCCAGTAACCAGTCATCACCACTTGCTGCCAGTGCAACTTCCTATGATTGTTTCAAACCAATTAGGGGGGTTTCCTATAAATAATTAAATGAATTCCCACTTATGAATGAATTAAATGAAAAAACACTTCATGCAGCCACAGTTTTTGTGAAAAATGCTGATGCTGCAGTTTACAAATCGGTGTTTGATTTAGTACCTCCCACTAACATATAAAGCCTCAAATGGCTTGAGATTGGGATATCTAAAGGAACACCTGTTTTCATATATCTCTACCAGACAATTCGGGATATCAATGGAGGCCCTCCTTCATAAACCCTCCCCAAATGAGATTATGGGGAAATTTGTGAGGAAAAGGGCCTTCTCTGTCATTGCACCTCGCCTTTAGAATTCCCTTCCAAAGCAGGTGCGACTGACACCCATATTATCTTGCTTTTGATGCCAAGTTAAGACTTTTTATTCAGTATTTGTTTTTAGATTTTGATTGTCTTGATGCTGGTTCTGTTGTTATTTGTCTTGTTAACTATACTGTGCTTATCCCCCTATTGCATTTATATAACATTTTACTGTATTATGATTTATGGTTTTAGCTATTATTGTTATGTATTTATATCTGTTTCATTGTTATGATTGTGCTGTGAGTCACCCAGAGAGCCTTCTGGCAATGGACGGTATACAAATGCAATAAAATACATATATAGTTTCTATTAGCTAGTCCTGTTGGGGCTTTGTTGGAAGTGGAAACACCATGTGATACCTCTTATTATATGAGTGTGGCTACATTCCTATACACCTGGCTGGGATAACATTGCCCATGGGGATACATCTGACTTTGAACATGGTTTTATGTTTGACTCTGAAGTCAAACTTGCAGTTTTCAGGGTCCAAAGAGAAGAGATAAGCCCCGAAGAACTAAAAAGAAAGAAAGAAAGAAAGAAAGAAAGAAAAAGGTCACACTGCATTTAGCACTGGGTGGAAGAGGTAGAAGCCATAAAGTTTTCAATGGCTTGCACTTAGTATACTTAGACAATTCTTCCTCTTACATTAGAATGTTAGGATGGATTCAGATGTAACACTAAACCATGGTTTAGCATTAGGAAAAGATGCCCTGGTGAGCGTCAGACTTGCATTCTGTCTATCCCAACCCTCACCTCATGAACAAAACTAAACCTTCTATATCCAGTTTATCATTAACTACATTGTTCCATCTCATTCCATTTAATTTCCAACCCTGTCCTGATATCTTGGTTTGACAAACTACAAATTTTGGTATAAACTGCAATCAGAAGATTCCAACTACAGGAAAAGGTGGACAGAAGGAAGGGTAGAGAGCATGAGCCTCACTGTAGGGCAGGGTGGTGAAACTCTCAGTCTGACAGCCATTCTGGAGCTCCAGTGCTTAGCAGGACAAAAGGATGGAGGCAAAAATGAATTTAAAATACTAGCATGTTTCACTTTAAAGCTAACCAGAAACACTTCATCCTTTTAAAATGGGGAAAACCTGCATGAAAGCCAGGAAATTAACAATCATTAGTTGGGAAACAGAAGTTGAGGAAAGGGTCACAGCCTTTGATAAGCCCCACACAACCAGATTATGTTCTGTGGCCCTTCCACAAGGTGTTGTTATACATGGTGTATCAGACCAAAGTGAAGCATTCTGTTCCGTGAATTGCCAACTGGATGCTAACAAGCAGGACATGAGAACAATAGCACTCACTTGCTTATATTCCCTAGCAAATGACAAAAAGAAACATTCTGCCTCCAATAGCCATCATGACTAGTAGTTGTTGCTAGTCTTATCCTCCATGAATTTGTCTAATTCTTTTTTAAAGTTTGGTGTTTTCCTTGGCAATCACTTTACCCCATGATAGCAAATGCCACAATTTAACTATGTGCTGTGTGAAGTACTTGACCAATCCTAAATTTCCTCAAGCTTCAGGTGCTAGTGTTAGAAAAAAATAAAATAATTCTCTATCCACTTCCACCACAATATGCATAACTTTATATGCCCCTGTCATATCCACTCTTACTTGTTTTTTTCTAACCTAAAAGCTCACAAATAGTGTAACTTTTTCTCATGGAGAAATATCCCTACCCCGCTTGATAGTTTTGGTTATCCATCTCTGTAAGAAAAAAAAAGCAGGAAATGCCTTAGCTCTTGAAGGTCATACATTCAACCACCGTGCCTTCAGGTAAAATTCGGAAAGACTGTCATTCTGAACAGCCACTGCCAGTCACTATACAATACATTGAGGAACCTTTTGAAGACTAAACTGCCAGCTGGGAAACCTGGGCAGGGGCACCCCATTCTCCCTTTCATGCATCTCATTTATCCTGCTCATATACACACCTGTAAACAAATGTGCACACGCACACAATCCTCACCTTTCATGCATACAGATATATGTGCACACAAACTTCTCAGCCCCTCTCCTCAGCTGAAGTCATGCACTGTTATCCCTACTGCACCCCCCACCCCGTTAACATTATTCCACAAGCAAATTGCAACAGCAAAAAAATCAGGCTTTCTATGCCGCTTGGCTGATTCCCACCAGCCAGGAATGGAGATTTTAAACTTCATCTAGTATGTCAAACTCTCCATTCTAGGAAGCCACAATGGGATTTAGGAGTAAGCCCTCTCTACTCCTCAGCTGAGGGACAGCTGTTCATCTCCAACATGGTGTTGTGGCTGTGAAAGTTTAAAACTTACTCTCTAACACATACTGGTAGAAATTGAGATCATGATGTGGGAGAAGGTATGACCTGGGAGAATGGTGCAAATGGAGTGGGGAAACTCAAGGACCACAATAGGTCCATGGGCTGTTGTTTTCCAATGTTTGACGTAATTACTCAGCTACAAGGGTCCATTGTTTGACTTTAATTACCTAACTCCAGTCATGGTAAAAATGCATGAAGCACTCTAAATCATGCTGAACTACTCGGTGCCATAAAACTACAATATTAGTACACTACAAATATAATCATCACCTTTCTGAATCAAAACAAAGGGCCACATAGTCTAAACTCTGTCTCCAATAGTGACAACATAAATTTCAGAGATCACAAGCTGACATGACGGCAATAGTCACCTGTCATTATGCAAATTAAAGCATGGATGCCCATCATTTATTGAATTTCTTTCCTACTGATACCAACCCAAATGACCTCTGTTATTTTTGAGGGGTTAAGCCAAGGGTGGGCTGAAAAGAGCTGAAAAAGTATCTTCTAATAGGAGTGGAATAAACTTGTAATTTTGGAAATGTAATCCTGCCTG